TCAAGAATGCCTTTTTGCATGGTGATCCACTCGAGGAGGTCTATATGAAGCAACCATCGGGGTTTGTTGCTCAGGGGGAGGATGGTAAGGTGTGCCAACCACTGAAGGCCATTTATGGGCTTAAACAGTCTCCTCGAGCATGGCTTGGCAGATTTAGTGAGGTAGTAAAGAAGTTTGGTATGAAACAGTGCCAAGTTGACCATTCTGTCTTCAGTCATGACTCTCAGGAAGGGAATATCCTATTAGTGGTGTATGTAGATGATATTGTCTATACCGGGAATGATAAAATGGGCATTGACAGGTTGAAGATCTTTCTGCAGGAACATTTTCAGACAAAGGATCTTAGTAAATTGAAGTATTTCTTGGGGATAGAGGTAGCAAGGTCCAAGCATGGTATTAACTTGTGTTAGAGGACATATGTTCTTGATTTGCTTGAAGAAACTGGTTTGTTAGGTGCTAAACCAGTTGAAACTCCTATGGAAACAAACACTAAGCTGAGCAGTGATATGGGTGAAGTGTTGAAGACCCTGGCAGATATCAGCGGCTAGTAGGTAAACTGAACTACCTAACCATCACTCGGCTAGACATTTCATTCGCAGTTAGTGTGGTAAGTCAGTTCATGTAGAAACCTCTAGTTCCACATTGGGATGCGGTTATAAGGATTATGAGGTATTTAAAGGGGGCTCCTGGTCGTGGTTTGATATACATAAGTGGTGGAAAACTTGAAATAGAAGGATATACTGATGCTGATTGGGCCAGTTCTGTATTTGATAGGAGATTTACCACATTCTATTGCATTTTTCTTGGGGGTAATCTGGTGACATAGAAAAGCAAGAAGCAGACAGTTGTGGCAAGAAGCAGTGCAGAGGCAGAATATAGAGTTATGATACATACTACTTGTGAATTATGTGGCTAAGGAACCTTCTACAGGAAATGTGATACACTGTTGATACTCCATTGAAGCTCTACTGTGACAATCAGGCTGTAGTTCACATTTCCTCTAATCCGGTATTTCATGAGAGAACCAAACACATTGAGGTTGACTGTCACTTTGTTAGAGAGAAGGTGCTGAGTGGAGTGATAGACATTGCATATGTCAACGCAGGGAACCAATGGGCAGATTTGTTTACTAAAGGGTTGAGTCGGGGGAGAGTGGACTACATATGTAACAAACTGGGATTATATGATATATACTCTCCAGCTTGAGGGGGAGTGTTAGTGTCGAGTATGTAGGGGTATTTCTGTCTTTTGTGCTTGTGTTTAGGTGCTGATGTAAGTTTATGTTAGATTTAATGTCCCTTACTTAAGTAGGGGCATATGTGACTTTTCCACATTATTTTAGTAATATAAAATACATCTGGCCGAATGGGAGAGAGAACTTTTTCTCTCATTTGAACTAGAATCTTTTCTCCTTGTTTTTCTTTTGTTCTTCTGCTTTCTCTCTTTCTCTCTTTCTCTCCTCTCTTCTCTCTCTTCCTTGACTGTTATCAGTCTAACAGGTAGACCGAACACTAACAAAAAAAAAAAAATTCAGAGGTAGCATGGAGAAAAGGGAGACAACACCAGATTTTGTCAATGACAAATGGGCTTCCTGGCATTCCAACTTATCTCTTGCTCTTCCCATTATTTCTCCATCTCTCTTTTTTATTCTTAAAATTTTAGGTGTTTTTTGCTTCTCTTTTCTTCTTGTTCTAGTTTCTTGAGGTTTTTCTTTTTTGTTCACAATTCATAGCCAAAGGGATTTTTTCTTTCTTGATCTGATTTCTAGAATTAGGATTTTCAATGGTTTTACAATTGGTCAAATTTGAATCACTTCGAATATTCGGTACTCTAAACAAATTCGAATTAAGTTTGTATTTTTGAATAACTGATGGATGTTGATTAGAATTCGCTTGTTCTTTGATTGGAATCGAATACGAGTATCACTTGATTTGATTCGAATTTGTTCCATTTACAAGCCTACTAGGAGGAACTGATTGGACAATACTCAATCTCAATAAAAGTAAAAAGGCTATGTGATGGAAGGGTATGGGCTTTAACAATTGTCTATGGTCCTAACTCATATAGAGAGAAGGACCTTTTTTTTTGGGAAGAGTTAAGGAGTTGAGTGCAATCTGAGGCTTATGGGAAGGACCACGGTCTTTGGGTGGTGATTTTAATGTTATAAGATATACACGTGAATAAAATAACCCAAATAAAGGCATAACCATGAGCATGAGGAAATTTAATGCATTGGTGGATTGTTTGGAGTTAAAAGAGCCTCCATTACTACAAGCATTCTTTTCTTGGCGTAATTTTCAAGAAGTTGCGGTTCATTCCAAATTAGACTTCCTGTTCTTGGTGGATTCGGAAGAATTTTGGGGGAGTTTAGTGTTGAAAGCACTTCCTAGAGTAACCTCTGATCATTGCCCCCTTTGTGGAGGCCCTACTCCTTTTAGGTTTGAATACCATGCAGCTGGAAGATCTCACCTTTATTGAAAAAATAAAGGTCTAGTTAGTATTTTAAAAGTGAAAGGCGAGGTGCATGCCTTTTTGAAGCAAGGCACAAAATTAAAAAAATTCATAAAAATATCATAAAATGTAAAAGGTTCAAAATAAATTAAGAAAATATTTAAAATAGTATTAATTAAAAGAATTCAAACTTTAATTTTAAACTAAATGTTTTAAAAGCCTATTAACTCAAATTTGAATACATAAACATATCATATAAAACATATTCAAAGTGAAAAATACAAAAATAAAATAAAAAAATGGCATACAAAATATATTCAAGCATGTCAAACTTTTAATTTCTTTATTTCTTTCCAATTGCATTATTTCAAATAACTAATATGATGTTAACTATCTTTCATTCCTAATTCTATTAGCTACCTTTGTACCATGCCCCTTGAGGCAAGCCCAAAACAAGTCCATGTTTGGATCCTCCCTAAACTTCTGCTCTTTCACTAACTTATATGAGTCCATACTCCATATATATTTGAGAGATCACATTTATCATATTTTAGACTTGGGACAAGCCAAGAAAATTACACCACAGGTGTCTCAAATGTGAATTTCTGGACACCTTCGACCATCTCTCCCTTATCTAGCCTTTTTAGCAATTAACTATTAACATCCTTAATTCTCCATTATAGTAACCTTTTAGCCTATCATGCCTTGCCAGATTTTTCACTTGTGCATTCTTAGTCCCCGTCAGCCCTTTCCCCTTATTTTTCTAGTAAACAGTGAGTGAAAAAACTGTATGCATAAAATCAGAAACAACAATGATATTTTTAAGTGCCTAGCGTGTCAAGGAACTGAGGGCATTCCTTACCTAACAAGTTCTCCATCTGTAATATACGGAAAAAAAGAGAAAAAAGAACACAGATTCCAGATCTGGTTCCCCCCACAGTAGATTTCCCTTATTACTCCATACCTTAAGGCTATGTTTGGTTTGAAGGAAAAGGCAAGGAAAGGAAGGGAAGGGAAGGGTAAGGAAACCTTTACAAACCTTGTATAGGTTTCCCTATCTTTCCCTTCTTTTCCCTACCTTTTCCTTCAAACCAAACATAGCCTAAGTGCATCTGCTACAATATTAGTCGTCCAAGGTGTTCCTCCCGAATGAACAGTTAAGGGTGGATGCCAAATATTGAACTTTCTTATTAAAAGTTGGGAGTACCCAAGGGTCATCTTTCATACTCTCCAGCCAACTCATAAGCCACTTGACAATCTCCTTCCACTACTAAGCTTGACCAACCTGCAGAATAAGCCTAAGTGCATCTGCACAATCTCCTTCCACTCAATTATTATTGTTTCAATTATACCTTCCTTACCTCTCTCCATTTCCAAAAATATTATGGGTCCTTTCTTCCCAAATTGTTGATATTGTTTCCGCTCTTGTGCATCTCTAAATAAGTCTTCCCCTTTTGTCCATGTAAAGGTAGTTGGAGCAAGAAGGCTTTGAATATCTGCAGGAGGATTCCACCTACATCCAAACAAAGAGAATAACCATTCCCAAATTGAAGTGATAAAACTACAAAGAGATTAGTAAGTGGAAACAATTCTCACCGTTAGCCTTACACAAGGTACACCACTTCGGTCGTTTTCCTTGATGCAAATCACCAGTATCAATTTTCTCATGAACAACTTCCCAACAAAAAGATCCAACCCTAGGAGGAATAAGCTTGCACCATACCTCCTTGACTGGATAAGAAGGCGGAGAGCTAGTGGAAGATTGAGATAAGGCTTTAAAGAAAGAAGTGCAAGAGAAAGAACCTGAGGGAGTACACGCCCAAATTCGAGTATCAGGCTTGGAAGGATCAAAATAGAGCTCTTCCAGAATTTGAAGTAGGTGGAGTACATTCTGAAGTTCAGAATCTCTTATAGCTGATAAAAAAAAAAGTTCAGAATCTCTTATACCTCTCTGAAAACTCAAATCCCTTGTAAATCCATTGCTTGAGTTTGAAGGAATAAGGAGTTTGGAAATAGGCTCATTTTTAAACCAAGTTAGTGGATACAATGAGGGCAAATGTTCCTTCAAAGGGGAGGACCCAGACAAATATGTTTCCAGAACTTAATACTATTACTGCTACAAGGATTATATTTGATGAAGGGTAGGAATGATTGCAGAATCTCATTGATGGCTTTCCATGGAGAAGCTTGATTTGCACTAGCCAATACTCCAGCATCCTATCCATTGTCAAAGAGCCCGTGAATACTCAATATCATTTTTGCCCAATAATTGTCCTGTCTAAGAGCCTGAGAACAAAGTATTTTTAACTGGAAGAATACTCACTATCATTTTTTCCCATATTCCAGCATTCCATCCATTGTTCTTTATGTTGGTTTTATCCATTCTTCTAATTTCTCTTCATTAGTGTTTTTGTGGAGGTTCTTTTATTTTTCTTCTATGTTTATTAATATTTTGTTTCTTTTCCTCTCCAGACTGTTGACTTGCTACAACATTTTAATCAATGGTTGGCATAAGTTTATTAACTTTGACTTGTTTGATTCGTTTTCAGAATAACCTGGATGAGTTATTCATGCTCATGCACTTTCTTGATGCTGGAAAGGTCTGTACATCTGCCACTTTTGCATGAGTGTACTATCCATATTTCTGATCTATATTTTTGTGGGTCACTTGCCAGTTTGGAAGTTTGGAGGAATTTCAGGAGGAGTTCAAGGATATCAATCAAGAGGAGCAGATTGCCAGGCTTCATAAAATGCTAGCTCCACATCTTCTTAGAAGTATAAACTTTGACTTTCTATCCTCTGGTGCTACCTGTTCTGTTCCTGCTCTCTCATCTAACTCTTAGTTTTTGAATATCTGTGGCGAGCAGAACATTTAGTTGTCTTTTGTTTATCTCTTCAGTGAGATCCAGTAGAATTTTATTATCACTTGCATGATATTTATATGGTATTTTTTCCTGTTGATGCTGTTTTAAGATTTCGGTTCCATTATTATTTTTGCCCTTTGCATGGGAATCTGGTAGAATTCTCCCCCCCCTTCTTTTTCTTTAACTTTTCCAGTTGTTAATGATTCTGAAGACTCATCTAGTGAATGTGGTTCCTGGTTGGTTCTAGTCATGTCTGTTGCATTTCTTCGAAGTGTGATTTAGGTTTCTCCTAATGAATTCAGTTATTTCTTTTTGCATATGTATTAACTACTGTTTCATGAGCTTCCTGATAAACTAGCTGTGAAGTCTTTGGTTAAACTGTAAAGCGTGGTTGCTGTTCTATTTTAACTATTCTAATTTATTAGCTTGTTGATTAATTGTTTGTTGAAATCGTAGGAGTGAAGAAGGATGTCATGAAAGAGTTGCCTCCTAAAAAGGAACTTATTTTGCGTGTTGAATTGAATAGCAAGCAGAAAGAATACTACAAAGCCATTCTGACCCGTAACTATCAACTACTAACTCGCCGGGGTGGTCCTCAGGTAATATGGCATATTTTATTGGCATGAGTTTCATTTTTCCTGTTCTTGATATGCAGATATCATGGCTAATTGTTGCCCTTTTCTTTTTCTCTCTTTTCCTTATGTTTGCAGATTTCTCTAATCAATGTGGTAATGGAACTACGCAAGCTTTGTTGTCATGCATATATGTTAGAAGGAGTCGAACCAGAGATAGAGGACACTGGTGAAGCTTACAAGTAATTTTAATATCATATGCTTAGCTACCTGCTTATTACTGATAATTTTGACTCTTATGAATGCAAGTTCTATGCTTGCAAGGTTCAATAGATGCCATTCATACATTTTTATCTTAAAATTAGAGCTAGATTCTTAAATTTTGGGGTAGAATGAGATAATTTCTTGGTTATTTCTTGAATTTGAAGTAATCTTCTCCCAGAAAATTTGAAGTTTTTCCATATGGTTGAAGCTTCATTTACTTATTTTCTGCTAGTGAGCATTCTTTGTTTATTTCATTAATTTTTGTGCTTCTATCTTTTTTACTTTCAACTGGCAGGCAGTTGTTAGATTCTTCTGGGAAGTTGCAGTTATTGGACAAGATGATGGTCAAGCTAAAAGAGCAGGGGCATAGAGTTCTGATATATTCACAATTTCAGCACATGCTGGACTTGCTGGAAGACTACTTGGCTTATAAGGTGTAACTATTATACAATTCTGTGATATGTTCTTTTGCAGTTGAAAATGGAATTTCTTGTAAACAAGTGTTGAATGGATGTGGTTTTCCCATGTTAGTATCTTGATCTAACAATCTCAACTTCATCTTTTTTTTTGGTAAGAAATGGCACTATGAACGGATAGATGGCAAAGTTGCTGGAGCAGAAAGGCAAGTCCGCATAGACCGTTTCAATGCCAAGAATTCTTCAAGATTTTGTTTTCTGCTTTCTACTAGAGCAGGGGGATTGGGAATAAATCTTGCAACTGCAGACACTGTTATTATTTATGACAGGTAACAGCCTTTTTTTGTTTGTTTCTCCTGCTTTTTACTTGTTACCATTTCATATCTTTATTTCAGGTTCCACTTTATCTATTTAGTGGCATTCTGTTCTGTCTGCAGTGATTGGAATCCCCATGCCGATCTACAAGCAATGGCCAGAGCTCACCGGCTTGGGCAAACTAATAAGGTTAAGTGTAGTTTCATAAGTAGCATGCGGGAAGATGGTTCTCAGATTTTTCTTCTTTTTCTATGGTTGAACAAAGACATCATTTGGTGACTGGTGTGATGTTTCAGGTAATGATTTATAGGCTCATAACGCGAGGAACCATTGAAGAAAGGATGATGCAGATGACAAAGAAGAAAATGGTTTTAGAGCATCTAGTTGTGGGCCGGCTTAAGACACAAAACCTTAATCAGGTATACTTTTGTGTTTGTCAGAGACTTTTTTTCTTTTTTATTTTTCATTCATCATGATATATGCAAATCCTCTCGAAAGTCAAAATCATTTTAATATTATCCTGATTGATTAAAAGAACTCTTTCAGTTCTATTTCATTTAGTGCTATTATCTTGGGAATACAAATGACCATGAATTTCATCTTTGCTCTGATCACATTCATATATAAGCACGCTTTAGAGTATTGATACTGGTGGCTATGAACTTGTTCTCTTTAACCTCTCTCCTTATTCTTGTCTTCTTTTCTCTCTAATAGGTAATGCAATTCATTAGCCATTACTTTAGTCAAAGAAAAAAAAAAGGAAAATCAATGTTGTATCACTGTGTTCCATAATTAATGAGTAAATTAATTTGCATTTCCTATCCTGTATTTATTGTTGTTTGAGACTTTGAGTGCTAATGCAACTGTTTTATACATGCTTTACATGCTTTTCTTTTCCCTTGTTATTCATATCTTACTTATCTGGTATGCTCAATTGTCTCTGTGCTTTTCTGATATAGGCGTCTTAAGGTTGTTGTGGGCCATTTTTTATTGGCTGAAGTGGCTTAACTGCATTACTGAATGACTTATTGGATTGTCTTTTAGTGAATAAGTTTTTGAGGTTGTGAGTTCCTGGCTGAATTTGAATTGGGATCATCATTGGGTAATGGCTTTTTAGTTATTTTAACCGCTTAATGACAAAGCCATAAGCCATTAAGTTGGGCTATTACAGCTGTAATCAAATGACCCTTACTGATATGGCCCTCAATTTATTTGGGGACATTTTAATCCTTGAATGTGAGGACTTCTTAACATCTTGTAAGAAACTCAGCCATGATTGCCTTTCATGTGTGAATACTGTCAGCATTATTCGTACAATGTACACTACATAGTTTGATCATGAAATTATTTTTGTCACATTCTATTCTTTCAGATATAACTGCAAAGTGCATTTTGTTAAGCTTCCAAGTGATGCAAAGTGATGAGGCTAACTTCCACTTGGAATCTTGTCACTAGGAAGAGTTGGATGATATCATCAGATATGGTTCAAAGGAGCTATTTGCTGATGAAAGTGATGAGGCTAAGGCCCGACAAATTCATTATGATGATGCTGCTATAGATAGGTAAAATATGTTCCATTATTCTATGTTTGTGGTCTTCGTACTGTTAATTTTTTTGTGGTAATGAAATTTGGTTTTCATGGTTTTTCCTAAAATAGATTACTTGATCGTGAGAAAGTTGATGATGAAGAAGCAACAGTGGACGATGAAGAGGAAGATGGCTTTTTAAAGGCCTTTAAGGTTTGTGACTCTTTTGTGTAATTTTGCATGTGCAATTTTTCCTTAATGCAAATAGGTGCATTGGAAATTTTCATTAAAAGTTTTATTGTTCGAAGAACAAAAGAATGTAATAGTTCCAACAGCAGTCCTATACTCAAGGCTGTCCGGACCCCGTAATCCCACCCCCTCTTCTAGTGCAAAGAGTAGTTGCCCTTTTGTTTTCCCACAGTGCTCTCCCTCTTTTCCTTGGTGGCTATATACACTAGAAGTAGTATTCTTAATGGATTAAGAGGCATGAGTTCCTTGATCATGTTAAGAGAACATATACAAGATGGATGGATTCTAGAGGCTTAGTCAATTAATGTTGATAATTTTATTAAACTTTGTGTTATCTATCTATCTATCTATCTATCTATCTATCTATCTATCTATATATTGAAAGAATGAAGTCTAGAAATTTTCTCCTTTTTTTGAGTTTTTTCTTTTTTAATCCATGTCATTTTTGAAACTACCAATTTGAAACTACTTTCCCAAAAAAGGTCTTCCTAAACTCTCTTTCTCTCTCCCCCACACGTTCTAATAACCTAAATAATCTAATATCCTAAAATTTATCCTAAACAACCTCCCCCACTATCCCCAACTTTCTCCTTAGTTATCTCTAATTTAGTAGAGAGTTTCTCTCCTAAATTATCTCTTATTCTTATTTATCTTCTACCCCACTTTTTATCTACATCTATCTAAAGTAAGTTTGAATTAAAAATTTTAAGAATCGTTTAAATATTCTAACAAAATTATATAATAACTTAAAAATATTTATTAAAAAGACAAAAATAATTATAATCATTTTAATTATATTCATATTATTAATAATTATATATTTTTACAAAATTCATCACGAAATTATGTACAAACAATATAAGTTATGATTTTTTGGATTATTCAAATAATAAAAATCCAACATAAAAAATGAAATATTATTTAAATACTTCAATAACTAAATATCTTAAATAACAAAATATTAAAATTAATATTTTAAATCAAATAATAATATATTTTAAATAGTTACTGAATAACTTTCAATTATAATAAATAGATTACGATTTTTAATATTTAGTTAAATAACTAAATATTTCAAATAACGAAATATCTAACATAACTAGATTTTAAATAGTTAAAATAAAAAAAAATTATATATTAATAGTACTATAATTTTATGGATTATTAAATTCAACAACTATTTAATATTTTAAAATTTAAATAATGACATAATTTCAATAAGTAAACAATATTGTAAATAACTAATTTCATTTATACTCAGTAATAATTCTAGAAAATAACTTAAAAAAAAATTAATGTTTCTTAATAATAATTTTAAAAACTTAATCTATATTTATTATATATCTATATATACTAAAATTAATATTTATTGCATTTAAGTAATTATTTATTGTTTTTTGTGATAAATATGTTTTCAATATTATGTATAAATCTATTTTTGTTTTGTTATTTAATAGAAAATTTTGAATAATTATTGGAGTAACTACTCTTATTTAGCTTTTTAAATTTAATTTATTGTGTATTTGCTATAAATTTTTAATAATTATTGGAGATTAAACTAGTGTTCACGGGTTATTTCGGTTTAGTTGTAGGTTGTTTGGCTAACCAAATTGACCTGGTTAGGTTGGGGAGTTGGTCACTCGGGTTACATTGGTTTGGTCGGACCGTTCAAAAGATTTAAACTTAAAAAATTAAATTTAAAAAAATAAGTTTAAGTTTAAAAAAATTATAATGGCATTATTAAAAAAATAAATTTAAAAATTAAATTTATGATATAAAATAATTTAACCTAAGAAATAATGGAATTTTCCCACTTTTCCGTATTAAAAAAATATAAAATATTATATATATCTATCGTCTGATTGTTCGATTTTGGCTAGTTTACAAATGGCCAAAGCTAAATTGATCCAACCCAATCGGGTTGGGAAATTGTTGAACCAAAGCCGACTAGAAATACTAGAAATTGGGTTGGTCTGTTTCATTAGTTTGATAGGAATGGCAACGTGGTGGGGCGGGGACCAGGAGCTTCTCCCCATTCCTCGTGATTCTTTATAATGTCAACCATTATGTTTGTTTTTTATTTTATTTAAAAATAAAAATAAAATAATTAAAATTTACAATCCTATTAGAAAAGATTCAAACATATTCAACCGTATTTTAAAAAATATTAACATATAGATGTATTTGTACATTTCTATTATTTATATATTAATGGAAGGTAGTCAGCTGAAGCCTCCCCCATTCAGACACGTGGCACTCTAATTTTTCAGAAAATAGTATTTTAGAAGTGGTTATTTACATTTTCAAATAAAATTCAAAATTCAAATCACGCTTTCAAAATATTTAAATTAATAGATGCATGCTCAACCGAATAAGGATACATGGTGGGACCCATTAAAACTACCACAAATACATGGTTCAAATATTTACTTTTCCCTTTCATTTCAAAATCTTAAAATAAATGCATAGTCAACCCAATAAAAAAAATACATGGTGAGACTCATTAAAACTATCATAAACTCGGCCAAATTGTCGCACACTTCTTAGTTAATTGAAAATAATTGAAGTCAAAACCACAATTATTGAAAATTGTGGTTAATTGAAAATAATTGATATAGGTCACTAAAGACAAATTAAACAGTTTTTTTTTTGGAAAGACGGGTATATTTTAAGCCACCCATACAATCCATGGGTCCACATATTGACCCTTTTATGTCTAACCTGTAATCTATACAGGTTATTCAGTTCAACTTGACCCCTTAATTCAATGAAATTTTATTACTTTAATTTAACAATTTATAGGTCCACATAAGTTGACTCATTTATGTTTAATCTTTACACCGTATTGGTCATTGAATTTAAATTGGCCCCTTAATTCAATTAAAGTTAATTACCTTAGCTTGAATAACTTAATTCAATTCATAACTTAACTAAGTAGGCTAAATTAATAACTTAGTACATAAAATTAATTATTCAATTCATTAATTCATGATAAAATATATATTATTAAGTTTATAAAAAGAAATACAAAATGATCCAATAATTATTAAAAATGACTATTCCAAAAAAATAAAATGACTGAATAATTAGTAAAATGGTTAAATAACCATATGAAGCTAATAATTTAATTTAAGTTAATTAAAATGTGATAAAAAAATAAAACCAACTATTTAAATAAAAATTAATTGGATATGTATTACATGTATAAAATGTAATTGTCTATGTTAGCATCATCTCTCCATCTTTCTACACTATTTGTCTAAACTTATAATTTTTTTTTTTAAATTTTTAACATTATCTATAATTCTATACTCTCACAAGATACTCAGTTATCTAATGCTTCTTAAAATATCTCCACCTTCCTAAAATATTCAATTCAAACTTACCATACAAGTGCGGAATCAGAAACAAAATAATAGTTGCCCTGTACTTAGGATTTTGCCATGCCTACTACATAAGTTAAAAATAAGGAAAAGCATAAATTGTTAATTGCAAATTAAAACTGATTTAATTTTCTAAATTAAATAAAAAACCAAATTCAAATTTATCATGTAAACATAAATTGTGGTCTCAAATGAATTAATAAATGATGTGGGCCATTCATCTAGATAAAATATGGTAAGTCTCGTAAATCAAATAAAAATCTATAAAAATGAAGTAAAAAATCTAACCTAACTTTTTAATATAGAGTATTTAAAAATTAAAATAATTCAGATCATAGACCCGTACTTACTACGGGGTCATGCCTAATATACATATTAAACTTATGTGTATATATACACATATATTTTAGCGGGGATCCCATGGGGCAGGGATCGGGGTCTCAACAGGCCAGGGAGTTCTCTCCCCATCCTTGTACTGTTCCCACCAACGGGGATGAAAATTTTCCCATGTCCGTCCCTGTGGGGGGAAAATCATCCCCATCCCTGCCCCATTCGGGGAGGATCCCCACGGGGATCGAGGAAATGGGGAAAATTGCCATCCCTGAGTTTGATGAGCAACCCTATCTAAAATTAATTATTGTTATTTTTAGATGTAAATCAGTCCTCTAATATCAAGTTCAAATTCAGTGATTAGCAGAATAAAACAGGTTTGAATAACTGTATAAGAGAAGAAGACGGCAAAGAGAAGAGGTAAGAGAAGGAGTCAAATAAAACTCCATTCTCCTCTAACCCTATTTTATTAAGATCTAAAAATTTAATGATGACAAGTATGCCCTTAAGTGGGCGGCCAGCTTGGCAGTTACATAAAGGAAATAAACAAGAATAAATAACAGGCCTATTAAGTGTGGCCCATCAACATAAAATAAAAGATATTACAAGAGAGGCTGTTAGGGCCCATTCGGCCCAGTCTCTTTACACTCCCCCTCAAGCGGAGCATAGATGTCAATCATGCCCAGCTTGCTTGTATAGTGTGTCAATTTCCCCCTTGGAACTCCCTTGGTCAAGATATCAGCCTGTTGCTCTTCTGATGTGATGAATGGTAACTTCTCTTGAAGAGACTCTTTCTCTTTTGAAATGCCTATCAACCTCAATGTGCTTAGTTCTGTCATGTTGAACAGGATTATGTGCAATGTTGATAGCAGTTTGGTTGTCACAATAGAGCATCATTGGTTTCTCATAGTCCACCCCCAATTCCTCTAGAAGGGATTGTAGCCATAGTAATTCTAACACACCATGAGCCATTGCCCTGTATTCTGCTTCAGCTGAGGATCTAGCAACTACTGATTGTTTCTTACTCCTCCAAGACACATTATTCCCAACAACTAGAGCACAATAACCAGAGGTGGACCTTTTGTCATCAATACATCTTGCCCAATCTGCATCAGTAAAGGTTTCCAGCTTCATGTGACCATGCTTAGCAAACAGAATACCTTTCCTTGGAGTACCTTTCAAGTAGCACATAACCCTTTTTGTAGCTAGATGAGTATCTCTGGGAGAATGCATAAACTGACTAATAACACT